GGGGTGGGGGCTTGTCTCTTCCCCATCCCAAAGCCTCATCTTGCCCTGGTGAGGGAAGAAGTGGGTGCTGAGCTTGAGCATCATCCCCTCCCAAAGCCCCATCCGGTCCTGCTTGGGGAGTGGTTGGGTGCTGGGCTTGGGCCTAATCCCCCTCCCAAGGCCTCATCCTGCCCTGGAGGGGCTGCTTGGGCTGCAGTCTTTCCTTTTCCCCCTCAAGACCCCATCCTGCCCTGGGCTGGGTGCTGGGGCTTTGTGGTTTTCCTCAGAGAGGGCCAGGCTTGGATGGTGACACCCTGGGGGCCAGCTGTGATCTTACAGTTTAGGGATAAGATGTGTATGTGGCTGTCTTGTGGGGAGGATGCCTCTGTAACCCCACAGGGCAATGAGCTGAGACTGGGGCCCCACTGTGTGGTGTTTGGGTGGGTGGATGAACAGGGTGGCACTTGGAGCCGCTCCCTGCCCCACGGTGGGTGCAGGGGACCCTCCCTTCAGCAGCACAGCCGGCTGCCAGCCCCTGTCATAGTTGGCCCATGAAGGATGCTGTGCCCTGGAGCAGTGCAGTGCTGGGGAGGGCAGGCTGGCCAGTGCTTGCAGCTCTACTGAAGGATAATAGTTTGTGGTTTTTTTTTTTCTATGGCGCTGTTGGCCCTCGGCAGCATGGGCCTGCACTGAGATGCTCCTTGCCTAAACAATGAGGAGGGAAGATGCTTTTTGCAGGTCACCCCGTGGCTGGTTATGTAATGGCAAATGCCCTCTGAACTCAGCGTGCAGTGGAGGTGCGTGAAGGCCTGATGTGTGCGAGAGCTTGCTTTGCCCTCTTCCCCTAAAGAAGCTTTCCTGGAAGAATGACCCACAAGTGAATTTCTGCTACTTCCCTTTTCCGGTGGGCTGGACCCCCAGAAGACTTGGTGTTTTTTTTTTTTTTTCCAAGGGATTGCTGGATTCCTGGATAGTGAAGCCAAATCTACAGGCAGTTGGTTGGGCCATTCTGAGCCATGTCTTGTCCTGCCAGGGTTTCTGGGCCACAGGCAAACACCCGCTGGCTTAAACCACAGCACAAAGGGGAACAAACTGCCTGGCAGTGGCTTCTCCAGAGCTGTGGTAGGGGCGTCTGCTCTCTGTTGGCGTTGGAGCTCAGTTCCTGTCATTCTTCCTGATGCTATTAGTGTGTGTTAATAGCAGTGCTCTGTTAAACATTGTATCTAAAATGTATAAATTAAGGTTGCAATAGAAGTCTTCAACTGCAGGCAGAGTGAAGAATTGAAGTATTGTAATCATAGGGCTGCAATTATGTAACTGGATTCTCTTTCTCTCTGGATAGCAGGCTCCTTTAATTGCTGTAACAAAGCTACTCCTTCAGTTTTCTGGGACTGTTCCAGGAAGCGATCATTGCAGCAGATTTTCTTCACTCCCCAGTAGAGCTAAAAATGTGTACTTTCACTATTTCAAAACATGCTTGGTAGTATCACTCAAGACTTACAGCACTGTGAAAGGATTTAAGAAACTTAATGGTGCTCCGCAGGCTTAATTGGAGGCACTCTTTGCCATTAAGAAGCTTATTCCCACAAAGTTTTAATATGCTCTGGTAAGAGCTGCTGCCAAGGTGAGCAGCTGCGGGCCTTCTCAGTGCAGACCTTTGCTTGATGGGTCCCCCAGATAACGTGTGTGTCCTGACTGGGCCTCACGTGTGGCTTGGGAGCGAGGGGTCTGGTGCCCAGAGGGGTGTTGGAGTGTGCCAGCCAGCAGCAGGACTGCACAGGGCTCCTTCCCCAGGGCCTGTGCTTGAAGGAAGGCTGCAGGGCTAGGATTGCCAAATCCCCATTTTCTAGAATAATATGGACTGCGCTGGAGACTTCCCAGTGCTGAAGGCCTCCCTGGAAAGGCTGTGGCAGATCGATGTGTAAATGGCTTCAGTGACTGGTATGAAGCACCTGAACTAACTTACAGAATGAATGGGGCTAAATGCTTGGCTCCAGTAGATACCACTTTCTAGTTTCTCAAAGGTCATGGGCAGCACTAGCATGCTGGTTTCTAGCATCTGTGTGGTGGTTTACAGGCAAGGGGAGGAAAAGGAGGCTGCTTTGCCAGGCCCTGGCTGTGCTAGCTCTGTGATGGGGCTTGCTCCCCCCTGCCCCTGTTTCTAGGCTGCAGCATGGTGTTAACCTGGTTCTGGCTTGTCAGACCAGCTTTGTCCCGTGGGAACAGCTGAAGTCTGGGTTTCGGTGGCAAAGCGGCGGTGAGGGGATGATGACAGGCTGAATGTGGACCAATGCTCCTTCCAGGCTAAACCGGCAGCAGTAGCTGTAACTCCTGGCACAGGGGGGAATAAAAAGCACTGCTGCTGTTAACCTGCTTCCTGAGCCTCCCTGCTGGAGATGGGCAGTCTGGGGCCCCTTGCTTGCAAGGCTCTGAACAGATGATGCTCCAAACCACTGGTGCACCTGGAAGGCAAACTTGGCAGTAGCCTATTGATGTATAGGAGGGCTGTGGCTCTCTGCAGATCCCGTCTCCTCCCACACAGTAAGCTTCTTCTGCGTGTGTTTAATGCAGGTGCTGATGTTGGGCTATCTCTGATCTAACCTCCAGACAGTGCCAGTGCTACAGTGCTCCACCTATAAGAGGCACCTTAGCCTGGGACTACTGTAGGCTACCCTGATACGCTCACCCTGGGCATGATAGGGGGGTTGTAGTATCAGTTTGTGACGTGGCCTGCCATAGAAAGGGCAGCCACTGATGTACAGGAATCGTCTACTTTCTTGGGAAGGGATTAAAGGAATCTATGTTCTGCCTTAGGTTCACGATGTCTGACAGAAAGGCTGTGATCAAGAATGCGGACATGTCCGAGGACATGCAGCAGGATGCTGTAGACTGTGCTACACAGGCAATGGAGAAGTACAACATAGAAAAGGACATTGCAGCGTATATAAAGAAGGTAACTAAGGGATGAGGGGGCTGCTCTGGCTGAGACTTCCTGAAGCTCTTAAGTATGTGTGCCTGTCGTGAGCCTGTGTGTCTGGCTGAGACTTCATACTTGTGTGTTTGGAGAGAGAAGGTGCCTTCTTTGCTTCTTCACTGCTGGTCCCAAGAGGATGGATTGACTTCTCCAAGGTCGGAGGAGGGCTATGGCAGAGCAGGGCCTGGTCTGTTGCTCTGGCAAGCTCCAAGCAGACAGTGTGAGTGCTGTCCCTCTGCATCTGCCAGCCTAGGAAGAGCTGGCTGCAGTCGCTCTTTAGGACTTGCTCCACAGATGATGCTGCTTGACTTGCAGTACCAGTGCAGAGTGGGATTACTGTTTCACTCAAAGTGGGCAGCTGTGCATGTGCAGTTCTGTCTGCCATGTTCCTGGCTCTGGGGCAGGTGGTGTAGAGGAGGATGGGGCCTTGTGCTGGCTGGCAGGGTTCTGAATGGTGCTGCTTTAAAAACAGTGCAAACAGCTGCCCTGGCTTGTGAAGAGGTGTCTCCCTGTTTGCAGGAGCCCATTAACTTGAGTCTTGTGCTTGATGGCGTCTGGGGAGCTGTCAGTTCTGTCTGTAAGCGCTTCTCCAAGTGGTTGGGCAAAGTGCTTTTGAAGGAGGAAAGTGTGACTTCACAGGCAATGCGGTCCTGGCACCTGGGCTAGCTTTTGGGCCTTGCTTGTAATCTAAGCTTGAATGTAAAGGATTCAAAGGTGTCTCCTAACTTCTCAGATCACTTTGATGGGAGGCAAGACTTGTCTCAAAGTGCTTGGGGCAATGCAGCCTGTAAAGTGAGTGAGTGCAACAGAAGGCATCCGAAAAGAAGTTGGCCTTTATTTCCTGAGAGTGTGTTGGGAGGAGGGAAGCAATCTGATGCACCTTCATGCCCTGGCAAGAAAGCTTTTCCTTACTTCAAAGGTTACCTGCAAAGAGCTCAAACTGTCTTGCTGCTGTCTGAGGGCTAACACTTGCTTTAATCTTGAATGTTGAGTCTGTTCTTCTGGCTCTGTCTCAGGGGAGGGAAGGGTGTTCTTGGGAGTTGTGTATTAATTGGAGGGAGGAGAATGGTCTTTAACCCTGTCTTGCCTGCTGAGTAGAAGACCAAGCCAGCATTTGTCTTGCTCACCTCTGAGGTCGCTCTGTGCTGTCTGGCCTGTGAATTTGCCTGCTCATCTTTAATGCAGATTTTCTCCCCTTTATGTGAAGAAGAGTCCCAAACAGCAGAAGCCAGACTTCTCCTTCCTTTTTTTAGGTGACCTTTAAGCTCAAATGCCTTGCTGGAGCAGACATGCCAAAATCTTTTTTTATTTTTTGTGAGTGGGCTTGGAATGGGAGAGGAGAAATATTCCCCTGAGCTAGCCTACACGCAGGGCTTGAATTGCACTGTACTAAGGAGAGCTGTTGGGTCTGCTCTTTCTGTCCAGGGCTGATGGGTGCTCTAAGTCTTGGGAGATGATTTGCTTCTGTTGGATCCTTGAAACAACCCAGCACAGAGGTCTGGTTGCGTCAGTCACTACCTCGTGTAATAGAATGGTGTCTTGCAGTGGGGAATCTAAAGATGCTGCGGGTGGGAGGAGAGGCAATAGTGTGTGAACAGAACCAGCTAAGAATTTGTGCTTAGAACTATTTTCATGTGGGCTTCCTTGGCCTTAATGCCTCTCTTCTCTTTCTTCAGGAATTTGACAAGAAATACAACCCAACTTGGCACTGCATTGTTGGCAGAAACTTTGGCAGCTATGTAACACATGAGACAAAGCACTTCATCTATTTTTACTTGGGTCAGGTTGCAATTCTTCTCTTCAAGTCTGGATAGGAAGTAGGAGCGAGTGAAATTTGGACTGTAATGCACTGATGGCTGAAGCCACGACTCCCTTTAACATGGCTATGCCGCTGCATGGACTGTATACTATATTTAATGTGTATATGTTGCAGTAAAAATCTACTTCTGTTTAGTTGCCTGGGAAGAAGGCGGCATTTTTTTGTTACTGCTTTTTTTGGTTGTATTGCACTAGGAAACCTGTAAATGCTTAAACAATGGCCTTTACGTGGGAAGAAATAAAACTATTCCACAACAGCTCCCTCAGTGGTAACTCCTTCTTTGAGGCTGGGAAAACTTCTTTGGGCAGGCCAAAAGACCCTGACTTCCTTACTGAGTCTTTATAATTATTATTAGACTGTTAATCTTGTAACGAGGAGCAAAGCCAGTGTGAGCCTCTGTACCCACCCTGCAGACTGTAGAGAGCTGGCTCTCCCAGTAACCTCAGTGCAGGTACTTAGACCTTCCCTGAAAGCTGATGGGGTGGCTCTTGATTCCGTGGCTTTCACACACAAGTTGAACTCCACCTCGGACTGTGATAAACAGACTTGCAGCTGGCACCCTCGGTGTTCTCTTTCAGTGCCCATCACTGTATTTTTGGCTCTGCTGAAACATTGACCTAGACTTGTAAGCAACTCAGCCTGGTCTAGAAGACTTCAACAAACATCCCCCCGAGTTGCTGCTTGCTGCAGAAAGCAGCATCCTGTGGCTGAAGTCTTTAGACCTTAACACTGAGATCTAAAGCCAAGTAGCCTGTCCCCGAAATGGAGTAGGATATCAAATTGGTGACTACTGACAACAGCTCTATTTGGCGTGTTCTTAGCCAGTTGTCTCAACACTGCCTTAACTTGATGCTCTCCTTAAAGCAAGCTAGTCGTGTGGAAGACTTGTAAGTGGCCACTGTCTCCTTTTTTTTTATTTTCTGTAGCTGATAAGCTATTTCTGGAGGACTGTCCTCCATGTTCTGATATCTGCTTTTGTTCTTAAAGCACAGTACCAAGAAGTTTAAATTTACATGTGATGTTTGTGTGAAGGAAACTCATGTGACATCTGCTTCAAAGGCAGACAAATGTCTTGGTCTCCAATAGGTTCAGCATTTGTCTTAGTATGTACTGACTCTTGGATTACACTGCAGGAAGTTCTTTTTATCTGGGTGAGGAGCAATGCTGTGTGATGGCAAATAAAATATCTGGTGCTTGTCCTAAGGTCTATTTATTGGTTTGTTAACTAATGCATAGACAATGTCGCTGGGCTGGTGAGCCTAACTTTTGTCTCTGAGATGGATTTGGTGTTGGTAACAAGTCACTGCTGGGGGAGAAAGAGCAGAGCGAAGGGAGCTCTTCATTGCGAAATGACCCAGGTTGACTACTTCCTGAAGTAAAAGTCCTTCTTGTCTCTGTGCAAAATCCAAAGTATGCCTAATTTTGTAATATTGATAGAACAATGTTGTAACTAGAAAGAATGTAGCTGTCATAACTTCATGTTGATGGAAATGTCTGCGCTGGGGTAATGTGCCTTGGACTGTCTGGGGCACTCTTGTGGTCTTGTCTATTCAGAACTCCACTCTGGATCTGAAAGGAGAATGTTTTGGGTTTGTGGTTTTTTTTTTTTCCAAGCATGAGTCTAATGTGAACCTGTTCACGGTCTCTCGTGGAGCAAGATCTGTTCCCTTCATAACTGCAATGGCTCAAAAACCATTTATTTTTTTCAAACATTAAAGGTGAATTGACACATTTAAACAGCCTCTAGTTTCTTCTTCATTACCAGCTGTCCCAAGCAAAAACTGCACTTGTCCAGAGAGGGTGAGCAGCGAGTTCTCTGCCCTGGAAGATGCTGATGACCCAAAGGAGGCAGGTCTGCAGAGGGAGGAACTTGACCTGAAGAGCATATATGGCCCATCTGTGCTCGTGCTGACCTCCAGCCTGGCTCAAACACTCTGCCAGGAGGAGGGGTTGAGGGGATGTGCGGCCCTGATGGGATGATTTTGTGCCAAGTAACCTCGATGTGAAGGCACTGGGGCAAACCTCTTAATGACTTCAGCCAAATGGGGGGTGGTATAGCAGCTGGGGTCCTGGCTCCTGTACATGCTCAAAGGTCTCTGCTTTGCAGGGAAGTTGCTTCCTCCCTAGGTGCTCAGTACCTCTACTGGTGCTCAGCAGAAAGGTGAGACCCAGAACCCTTGCCAGTTGCCTGAAGCTGGGTGTGTGTTTAATGCCCCTGGTGCTGCAGGGGATGTGGGCTTGCCCTTCAACAGCCCCCCTCAGCTTGCTCTCTTGCTCCTGATGCAACCTGAATTTGGGTCTGCGGCCTCCCTGTTATTTTGGAAAAGCTGTGAGCACTTACCAGCTACAGTAGTATAACAGCTATGCTGTGGGACAGCAACACCAGCGTGAGAAACAAGGGAAAGCCGAGCTGCAGACAACCATGACTCATGCTGAGCAGCTCTAAGATGAGCTGAACCCAAAACTCTCAAGCAAGCAGCAGTATGGCTGTCACACACAGGCAATCTGCTATAACCTACACCTGGCAGTGCTGAAAAGCAGAGGTGGTTTCTACTTTGGGGGGAGCTGGGAGTGCTGCTCCTCACTCAGTAGCTCCAGTTAGCCTTTTAGCTGGAGGTGTACTTGCAGGGCTTAAGCTCCAGCCCCTCCAGCTGGGGCTCTACACTCCTGGCCTGGCTAGGTCTGGGTTAACACTGCGGCTCCAAGAAAACATTTGCAGCCCTCTGGGCCTGGGGTGGTCGAGCCCCCTTGATGCTCAGGGCTCTTAGTCAAAGCAAGTGGCAGAGAAACTGGCTCCTGAATGCCGGCCGCAGACTGCTCATTCAAACCTGAGGTGAAAAACTTTTCCAGCCTGAGCTCTGACTGGGGGGAAGCGCCCCTTCCAGCCACGTAGCCAGCGGCTGTGGTGCTGGTGTAATTTGGGCCCGGGCGGGATGTGGAGGCCCTGCCAGGGCTGGAGGGACGGCGTGCCTTGGAGCTGACGCGTGCAAGTAGAAAGTGGGTTTGGTGCCTCCTTGGATGTGTCACTGCAGCAGGAGCCCTGCTTCAGGCTAAGGAAAAGAAGCTCTAGCTCACACCTCGAGCAGTTAGTCAGTGAAACTGAGCCCTGCTTACCTCCCCGTAACCTCCCTGTAATGGACACTGGTACTGTGCATCCTCAGCCTTCCCCCAAACCATCTTTTGCATAGCACTGGGGCTCTGGAAGATAAAAACTGCCTGAAGTTAAGCAGTGCTTCCCTCTACGCAGCTGAAAGCAGGGTGAGGTTTTAACATGAAGCTTTCTGTCACCGCTGCCTTCCCCTCCTGCTCCCCAGCAGCTGACACAGCTTTTGGCTTTGACTTTTTCCATTGCTGGGTTCCACTTCGTCTCCAGTTTCCACCAGGCGCAGGTGTCCTGCATGGTGCCTCGGAGCATTAACTGCTGCTGTGCCGGAGAGTTTCAACGGGGGCATGAAGCCATTTGGAAACGCGGGGGAGTTCGGGGTGCTGGCTGCTGCTTGTGGGTGGAGGTCTGGGTGCAGGACGGTGCCTGCAGATGTGCCTGTGCATTCGCTGCGGGTAATGGTGTGGTTCGTGGTTGGGGAGAGTGTCACATTATTTTCTCTTGTACAAGCCAAGTTACTCAGTTCCTCATGTCGAGTATTTCTTCCAGATGTGGCCTTACAAAAGCAAAGCTTTGCGGCGCTGAAGAGCAGACAGGCTGGGTTTTGGTAGCTGTGCTCCTTGTGTGTAACTACTAGGCGTTATCGAGGGTTCATTCTTCGGCGGAGGGAGCGTGGTGTAAAACCACAAGAGAAGGTGCGTGACTCCGTTAGCAGGGAGAGCTGCTAGCCTTGCTCCCTGCCCGCCTGGCACAACGTTCTTCGCCCTTCTCTGTGTCCACCTGGGACTCCGGGAAGGGACAAAGTGACGGGATATCCTCCCACGTGGAAGCAGAGCCTGCCGATGGTAAACCCAGTGCCCGACAGACGTGTTCCTTCTCACAGTGCTTTTGTGAGAGATTTGAGATGAAGAGAGAAAACGTGGAAATAATTTTTACCTCTCTTTCAGTCTCTGACGGGTAAATCCTTAGGAGGCTGGTGCCACGAGGTGAAGGAAGCAGGGCTGTGCCATCCCTGCCCACCCGAGGTTTCCCTGCTTTGTTCTATTTATTGAGCAACGATTCTGACACCCTTTCCCAGACTGTGACTCATAGCAGCACTGTCTGTGCATAAGCCATGCGTCTCGGAGTGCTTTATAGATACAGGAGCTGCAGGAGCCTCGCAGGAGCCGACTGTGTTTATTAAAAGATGATCAGATGTTTCCTCCCTTAAGGCAGTGTCTAGCTGAGGCTGAATAATAACTCATTACCAACGAGACAAATAACTGTTTATCATCAGGTCAGCGCCTTCACCAGCCCTTCTGTTAGCAACGGCAGGTGCCACACTTCTGCACCCAGCACCCGTGGTCTCGGCACCCGGCACAGGGGGGTAAGAAGGGAGCTGCCCTGCCAGACCCCGCTCCAGTCCCCGTCCCTTCCCCTGCCGGCAGCCTGAGGAGGGGTAACCCCGGGGAGTCAACCCCAGGCTCTGCTCCACTGCTCAGCAGGGTTTGGTCCTGGGTTAAGCTGGAGGAACGGTTTTATCCAGCCCTGGTGTAGCTTGTTTCCTCGTGCCTGCGGAAGTGGGCTGCTGTAGCGGCGTCGCAGTCCACGTCTTTCTGTCCTAGCGCTGGGGCATTCAGAGCAAATGCACCAGAGCTTGCTGTGGCCTGCTGGAAAAATCAATGGTGGGCCAGCGCAGTGTGCCGCAGACGCTCCCCAGGAGCACTGCCGGGGCTGTGGATGAGGCGGGATGTCACGTTCTGCCACGTCCCCTGTCCCTGTGTGCCCCTCACCGCCTGGCATGGCAGTGCTTGCTCGTGGGCCTCTCTCTAGGGCTGGGCTGGAGGGGGAGGCAGCGGAGAGCGGGGCCAGCTCTTGTACCCTTGCAGGACGTGGGGCAGGGACCCTTGCAGGCTTGGTCAGAGGCTTTCCTCAGACGCCATCCTCTGGCGTGGCCGCCGCAGCCCTCCCCTGCCAGATGCCATGGCATCTCTCCATGTCCTTTGTTCCCTCCCTTGCTTACGCGTCTCTGTTGATTTATGGCCGTTGCAGAGCAGCCTGACCGCAGCTCAGCTGCCTGCCCAGACCCCAGCCAGGCTGCGTGCCCTCGCCCCTGGCCAGCCAGGCAGGGAGAGTTTTGGGGAGGCAGCCAAGCCCCCCATGCAGTAGGGTCCCCTTGCATTTAAACACGTGCGTGGCCTTTTCTTTCACCTCCTTCCAGCCTGGGTGTGAATGAAGTGCTTTCAGGGGGAGGAGATTGCTGGGAGCCCTGCTCTCCCTGTGCATTGGTTGCAGCCCATAAAAGCATCCGAGGAATTCGCCATGGCGGTCCCTGCGCGGGGTTAGCACAGTGAAAGCCGCCCTTTGTTCCCGCAGTCCCACACAGGGACAGGGCTGGAATCTGCAGAGCTGGATGTGTGCTCCCACCGGCACGTCGCCCTTAGCGGCCCTGTCGCAGATGCCACAATGCACCAGGACCATCGGGAAAGGTTTTTCCCGTGTCTTGCCCCGGCCAGGGTGAGCAGCGTTGGGCACTGCCAGGGCACGGTGAAAATTTTTCCCCCGAGTTTATCAGTGAGGTTGAGCACCTGCTGGTAACACGCGGTGTGACCCGAGCTTTAGCCCCGTGCTGCTTAAGCTGAGTCAGAGGAATGGAAATCCCTTCTTACACAGATATTTTTCCACAGTGTTCGATTGCCAGTTTGGGGTTTAATCTCGCGCCCATCTCGCGCAGTTTCCCGGCTGGCCACGCCGCTCGCCTGCTGCCTGCCAGGCTGCCGGGGCCGCTCCGGCAGGAAAGGACGGAGGGCTGACACCGAGCCAGGACGTGCCTCCGCTGCAGCCTGCACACAGGCGGCTGGCGCCCAGCCCAGAACATGGCTCTGGAAAAAAATAAATGCCTTTTTTGTTTTTGAGGAAAGCCCAGAACGCTTCGACAAGGACAAAACCTCTTCCTAAATCCGGTTTTAATAGTCCTGTTTTCTCTACGGGACGAAAATGACCTGGCCAAATGCGTCTGCTCCTCCATGGCTCGTGGGTCAGCTTGGACGGGGTAAACCTGGACCTGCATTGCAAGGGCTCCCTCTGAAACCCCGGCTTGCAGGGGGACTGAGGGACAGCACCCATGTGGCCCCCTTCCCGCAGGGTCCCCACCCACGGGTGCTGGCGGTCCCGCTGGCAGGGGGTCGCTGGGCCTTTTCTGTGTTGTAATTAGCACGAGGGAAGAAACCCGTGGGGTGACTCAGCAAGCATCGGGTGCCAGACCAGGGCTTTGTCACTGTCCTCCCGCAAGACTGACACGTGCAATTCGGGCAGAGCCTGGGCTGGCTAAAGATACCACGTTACTTAAATATTTTATAGAAAATCATTAAGCAATTAAATCTGGCAGATCTCACATCACAGAAAAAGCAGCTTGAAGCCTGTGCAGTAAACAGGGCAAAGCTTCCTGGTCATTTGGGATGTCTTCTCGGAGTCTTAACTCCAATCCTTGCTTCAGAATAACTATAATTATCTCTTAATTGCCATTATTGTTTAACATTTTTAGCATTTGCAAGTGCAAACTGTTACAGTTTTCCATGCAGATACAATCAGTAGCCAGGGTTCACAATGAAAGCAATTAAAATCCTGTGA